ACCGGGGATCGAACTTGGGTCCTTGCACTTGCGCAGGAGGCGGCGAAACCACTGAGCTAAATCCCTGGCCCTCTGCAACAATCTTGTGTATAGTCTCCCTACTTGCTTGCTCTTTTTATTTATTGGTACTGTGGATTGAACCCAGGGCCTTCACACTGACCTGCATCCTCAGCCCTTTTTAAATTTTTGAGACAGGGTCTCCCCTAAGTTGCTCTAACTATAGATCTTGCCTCAGCCTCCCAGAGTGCTGGGGCTACAGACATCCACCACCACACCCGGCTCTTTGGATCTATTGTGACCTCCCCCTCCAAACTATTCCTTCACAATACAGCTAGAGTGGCCTTTTCAAACACAAATCTGCTGAAGTTTAAAGCCTGATTCCCCTTGCTCCTAGAATAAGGACGAAAGACAGGCCTTTCCCAACTCTTGGCATTTCAGGTACCCTGCTCCTGGGCTCGTGGGCTGCGCGCCTCCACCCTTCTCTCTCAGACCTTTCGGAGCTTCGCGATTCGGTTGGGTCCGGCGCCCAGAACTCACAGTAACACACGGAGCTATGGTCTCCTTCTATGTAACGCCTGGCAAAGTCAGCGCTCAATGTGTGAGGGGTCCACACCGCAGACAGCCAGGGTCTTTCCTTATACCCTGGACCACACGCAGCCAGAACCGAGACCACACGACCGCAGCTCGCGGCGCTGGCCCCGCCCTCCCGGAACGCCGTAGGGGAGGGACAGAAGGCCGCGTGACGCAACAGCCACCTGCAGGTGATTGGGCACCCCGGCGCGCCAGCCCGGAAAGCGACGTGTTCTCACGCTCTGATTGGCCGTAGTCCGGTGGGGGCGGGGCAGGTAGGTGCGGGCTGGAAAGCTGCGGCGGCGGGCGGAATGGGTTCTCGCTGCTGTCTCCGCTGAGGCGCGCTCGCGTGGGCGCTGGGCCGGCCCGCAGTGCTGCGCGGAGCATGAAGGGCGGCCCGGGCGGCGCCACCATGCAGGAGACCTTCGGCTGCGTAGTGGCCAACCGCTTTCACCAGCTGCTGGACGACGAGTCGGACCCGTTCGACGTCCTGCGCGAGGCCGAGCGCCGGCGCCAGCTGCAGCTGCCGCGCAGGAGGCGAGACGAGGCGGGAGCGACGACCCCGGGGCCCAAGCTCGGCGCAGGCGGCCCCAGGGGGTCCCGCAAGGAGCGGAAGGGTCCCGCCGCCCCAGGGAGTCCCAGGGGGGCCCTGCCACTGTCGCAGCCACAGCCGGGTACGGAAATCTCCCTGCCTCGGCCGTACTTCTGGACGGTGGGGTGATCCCTCGGGGCTGGGGTCCACACGGGGGTTCCCCAGGCCCTTCTGGGGTGTGGGACCCCAGAGTTGGTCAGAGTGGAGGGAGGTCGTTGGTGCGTAGACCAGAATCGTGCTCACCCAGCAGGAGTTTTCTCTCTGGTCACGCTCGGCCTTCGTGGGATGCTGGTTGAGAGGCGATTGCGGACCCGGTGGAGGACGGAGAGGGGCGGCCTGTGACGTCAGGCGCTCTAAAGCCTCCCAGCCCACACCTCAACTCGCAGAGCAGCGTGGTGTGTGGACGGGGTGTGCGACTTGTGATTCACTCGAGCTGCTGTAGGAAAGCGTGGCTGACCTTCCACGCAGAATGCGCGCGGTCTCCTGCCCCCGGGTTATCTAGGAGGTCCGTGCACAGCCTGGTGCCGCAGCCCAGGATGGCAGGAAGAGGACCTCGGCTAGGATGTGCGTGCGGCCGCTCCAGCCAACGCTGGGCGGTGTAGTCAGTGGGCTGTAGTGGCGTGTTTCTGGCCTGATTAAAAACTGCATTCCGACCCCGAGAGAATGCCCCGTAGTTTCCACTGGGGCTTTGACTTTATATTTACTTTTTGTTAAAAGTCCAGAGACGTCGCTTAAGAGTCACAACATAAAAATGTTGGAAATTATTTTTTTTAAGTTACTGGATATCACAGCAGCTGTATGACCCTATTTAAGCAGGTGAGAACACTTGAATTACATTGTTTTTCTCTTAAATTTAGGTAAATAAAATGGAAGTGAAAGCATTGAATTTTTTTTTTTTTTTTTTTTTTTTGGTATCCGGGATCGAACTTCGGACCTTGCGCTTGCGAGGCAGCCGGTGGAACCACTGAGCTAAATCCCCGGCCCTCCACATATTTTTTTAACAAATGAAAATAGACTATATTTTAGGAGAGTGCGAGACTGAAGTTAGGGGTGTTAATCTGATTTTTAGCCTTTTAAAATTGAAAGTACGTTTTTGTTAAGAAAACTTAACAAAAAACTTTTTGTTAAAAAGACCCTCTAATTTTCCCAGTGTAGGCCCTGGATTTATATGTATTACATAAATGTACAGTGCTATTTCTTTTCCTAAACTTAAAAGATAGAAACTGGGTTGCAACCTACTTCTCTCACTTCATATTGTAATCTAGTATGCTCATAACGTTTCTTTCCATCAGTTGTTACCTCTCAGCAATCTGGCTTTTGAAATGTATGTTAAAGATCTTTAGTTGATTTTGTAGTTAGAAACTTCATTATTGTAGCTCCTTTTCAAGTGTGCAGTTTCAGGAGCAAAGATCTCATTAATTCCATACATGTAGTTATTGTACTAAATTTATGACGGGAGTTATGGAACAACTTTCAAGATTTTGTTAGTGCTAATTGGTATGAAGGATTGTGCTTGTCTACACTCAGAATCTTTAATTTGAATATTGTATATGAAATCTCAGTGTAGATAAATCTCACACATGATATTAAAGAAACATTAACCCTCCAAAATATGAAAAAGGCAAGATTTCTCTATAAAAATGTAGGTTTTTCATGTCCCAAACTTGTGTCTAATGATATCCCATGGGCCTTTGCATAAACCTTGCCCAATAAATTTGTTCTTGAGTTATCAGACAATGTTTTAACTTTGCTGCTAGAGTAGCCCCAGCACCCTGTCCCTGCCCCTGCTGGGTTCTAAAGTCTCAGTAGATAAAAGAGAGCCAAGGGGTCTTGAGTGACTTGGAATATACCAATTTGGGCTCATATTTGAGAAGTATGATACCAAATATATAAATCTCAAAGAGCAAGAAATAAATGTTTTTAAAATAAAAATGTACACTACAGACTATTTTGAAATGAAAACCTCAGTACCCAATGGATAACCATAGTTGCCCTTTCTTTCTTTCTCTTTCTTTCTTTCTTTCTTTCTTTCTTTCTTTCTTTCTTTCTTTCTTTCTTTCTTTCTTTCTTTCCTTCTTTCCTTCCTTCCTTCTTTCCTTCCTTCCTTCCTTCCTTCCTTCCTTCCTTCCTTCCTTCCTTCCTTCTTTCTTTCTTTCCTTTCGTACCTGGGATCTAACTCAGAACCTTGTGCTTGCCAGGCAGGCACCATGTGGCTGAGTCACATTTCCAGCCCCATACTCCAGTTTAATATGCAGTTGGGATTGTGAAAGTGTACTCTGAAATGTAGGAAATTTCTCCTTTAATTTTCTGAAGAGGATTTATAACCATGTTTGGTAAAGTTTCTCCTGTGAAAAGTAACTTATTTAGCAAAATATATCCATAGCTATTACAATTATTTTAAGATACCTGTAATTATAGAGTAGCCTGTATGTTTTAAAATCTTACTTTAAACTTATTTTCTAGGACATTTAGGAAAAAAGAATTTAATAGTAAAGTTTTATTAAAAAATGGTAGACTGTAGGTGGTTATATGTGCATCTTTCTCTGAAATTTTCCTCAACTGCTCAGATTTTCCAGTGATCTAAAAAAATGAAACTTAAAAGTACCTGTGAAGTTTCACATTGCTATTGTGGAGGTTGTGTCCAGCTGTCTGCTTTCTTTCTGCCAGCAGGCCAGAGGCGTACTCCTAGAAGAGGGGAGGTACAAGGATGGAATGACAGCCAAGGGACAGAAGTGACACTGGACAGAACAGAACGGCGATCCTACAGGGAATATCGACCCTATGAGACCGAGCGGCAGGTGGACTTCACAGCTGAGAAGTGCACAGATGAAAAGTATGTACTGCCATCCTCAAAGAGTGCAGGATCCCAAAAGGTTTGCAGGAAGTGACCCTTCTGATCTGTCCATCGCACAGGCCTGGGAATGGTGGCAAATCACATTACCTTACATAACATAGGAAAGATCTTCATTATCTCATAGTTAACCTTCTATTTCGGTACAGGAAATCATTAAAAATGAATCGAGGGTAAAGGCACAGCTCAGTAGGTAGAATGATTGTATGATGTGCATGAGGCCCTGGGTTCCATCCCTAGCTGGTAACAATGAAAAGCATTCATGAAAACATTACATAGGAGTGGTTAAAATTTCTTTGAAAATTCTAGACTAGGAAGTTATTTTGGGGCTAAGGACATAGTTTTGATTTTACTTTACTAATTCAAGACTCTGTCATTTGAGAGTAAGGCCTGCAAATGCCCCTCTGTCCCTTAATACTTTATATGTATTTCCTGAAAACATGGTACAATGATCAAACTTATTAACATTAATACAATACCATGATCTAATTGTCTAAATTATGTAATCTGCATGTTTGCTTACATTTCACCAATTGTCCTAATGATATCCTTTTAGCAAAAGAGAAAATATTTCTGGTTTGGGATCCAATCCAGGAATGTGCCTTATATGTTGTCTTCTTTAATCTGGAGTAGCTCCTCAGTCTTGCTTTTTCTTTATGGATTTGACATTTATAAAGAGTGCGGGCCAGTTATGTCTTGTAGCACACCCCAGAATCTGAGTGTGTCTGATGTGTCTTCATAGAATGAGGCTCTGCAGTTCGATGGGAACACCACGAAAGCAATGTGCTCTTCTCAGTGCGTCATGTTAGGCATATGTAGGAAACTCTTTTTTGTTTTGGTTTGGTTTTTGGTTTTGTATTTTGAAGCAGGGTTTTGCTATGTAGTTCAGGCTGGCCTTGAACTCTCTGTAGTCCAGACTGGCTTGATCTCTCGAAATCCTCCTGCCTCAGCCTCCCAAGTGCTGAGATTACAAGGGTGCACTGCGCACTGCCATGCCTAGCTCAGGAATTATTACTTTCAAGGAAATTTGAATTTTTAAATAAGTCCTGTGATATTAGAAGTTATTTTCTTTGTTTTCTTATCAAATACTCTTCTGATAATGAAAGTTCATAAGATCTTTAAAGAAATAATAATCACTATAGACAAGTTGACAAATGTATAAAGTTATAAAGAAAAATAAAACTATTAATGTTGTTTTAAAATTTTGTTTGTTTTGAGACGGAGTCTTGCCATGTAGTCCAGGCTCGCCTCAAAATCCCTATGTAACCCAGGCTGGCCTTGAACTAGTGGCAGTCCTCCTTCCTCAGCCTCCCAAGTGCTGGGATTTCAGGTGAGTGCCACCATGCCTGACAAAACTACCAGTCTTGCTTGCCATCTTGATTATTCTTAATACTATGGCTCGTTTTCTTCCTTTTTTTTTATTGTGTTGATCTGCTTTAACCAGATCATAATGCATATTACACTGAGTATTTTATATTCTTTCTTTTCCTGTTGATATGGCATAAACTTTTTTCCATGTCATTAACAGTATTTAATCAGCATTTTTTTTTTTT